AATAGTACCTATAGATTATTTTCTTACAGACTTGACAATGACTGTTAATGATATGGAAGAACAGTTACCTGGGACTAGTTTGGGAAAGGAATTGTATCAACAAAGCATTTGCTTTCTTGGGGGCATGCAGGTCAAGGTAGTTGGAAGCCTGGCTTTAATTTATTTCTAACAGATGGCTCAAATTCTGACAGTAATGAAAAATCTACCTGGCCTGACCTCAGTGTTTGGAATACAGCTTCATTTATCTCAGAAATCACTAAATCTCAGAAACTAAACTGTCTGCATCTATATGGAACTTTAAATACTTTGGGTTTGTTCAAAACAAGATCTAAAAATCCTCTATCAACTACATGTATAGTTAACTTCACACTCTTCAAAAAGTGCCACTGATTTCAATGAGCTCTGTCAATGAGCCTAAAACATATCCAACAAGTTTTTTCATGTTGTTGCACTGGTTTTTAGTTACTTTTTCTTGAGCAGCTATGTTAAATTAGTTCAAATATATGGTGTGGATAGAATTAAAAGACAAGAATCCAAAGCACTAAAATATTGTTCCTGTTTTCTCTCCGTCCTTAAACTCAAACTGGTTTGTTGAAGGATTTCGGTTGGTCCCACGCTGACAGAGAATAACTGATAATGTGTATTGACATTGGTTTTCATCCTTCTGGCTTTCATGATTATTCTTAAGTCATTCTCAGGTATGACTTAAAATACAATCAGCCTTCTCCTTTCCCTCAACCTGAAGTGTACTACCATAATTTTTTTTTCTAGATTACTGTATAGCAGCTGCTGAAAGAAGCCAACGGAGTACTCTTGTGCTCCTTTGGAAATCCATTTGGCTCTAGAAGTCAGTCCATCCAAGTTACAGATTTAAGTCACAAGTGCGAGTATTAAGGATGGAAAACCATAAACAGAAGTTATTACAAAGGAAAGGCAGCACGGAAAAACTATTCTCAAAACTATAGTTATACCAAAGTAGTCACCAGAAAAAATGGTTACTTACCAGAGTAACTGTGGTTCTTTGATGTGTGCTATCCACGGAGATCTCAATCTCATTACTCTTCTTAAGGTTTCTGCCTGCCTAAAAAGTCAGCATTCTTCAGTGCTATCACTTACATCATGTAACGAGCCCCTTATTACATACAGACTAAGAAGTTCAGTTTCTCATAGTGCTGGCACATTTTGTTCTAGTGTGGGGTTCAAAAGGTGGTGCAAGGGTGTGTGTGTACTCTAAGAGATGAACGCACTTGTTTATATACAATTTGAACATATTTGAGCAGATTAGGACAGACTGAAAGTATCTCTGTCCCTATAAAGACCACACTATTAATTTACGGTCTGACTATCCCTTAGCTTTCAAGCTCATATAGTATCACATAAAACGCTTCTTTACTGTTAGTAGCTATCAGATTGCTAAAAATTCAAGGATACTCAAATACCTTGCTAATATTGTATAAACACCCGCAGAGTGACCTAACCTTTGAATAAAGTTTGCCTGTGAAAGGGCACAGAAAGATTGGTTGTGGATGACAGTAATGCTCATATGGACCCTTATGTAACGAATCTAACCTGATTAGATTAGCAAGCATCCTATTATGCCTGAAATAAGGCAATGTAAAGAAAGCTCCCTGGGGGCAGGGAGAGTCACTCAATTTTAAGTCTTTCCATTGGAATTACTCCTGCTTCAAAGAATGTTTTAAACTTCAACTAAGAACTTTTGGTGAATACATCTGGTGTCTTCAAACAATTAATTTGATGTAGCCTAGGATTTTATTTATTTTAGAGACCAAGAGACAGAAGACATGACTTGGGGATCACCTAAGAGAAATACCAATTCCAAACCATCTGAATCCTATGGTCCACTGAAGAATATTGCAATAAACAACTTGTGCTATTCATCTGCTTTGGTTTCCTCCAGATCATTGCTACAATAAGGATGACAAAAAAGCATATAGCAATCCCAGGGCCCAGAAAAGGAAAAAGCTTCAAAAGTGGAAGCAAGAATATGGATTGCACTGAAGCATTTCTTTTTCTTGTTCTATAGAACACTCTCTACCAACTGCTAACAAAAAAACAATCAGAAAAACAAGCTCTTTGTGCCATCGGATCATACACTGACAACTGGAGAACATGGGACAAGTATCTGCTCTCCTACTGAAAATCTAATACACTGCTATACTGTAGTGGCAGAAGCAGGTGAAAGAATTTGACTTAGACCTCCTGAGACTCATTAGACAAGCAGTCATCAACTTATGCAGAGCAACTGTATCTGTCAACACTTGGTTTATGAACCCCTAGCAAGGACAGAATTGTTTTTTATGCCACAGAGCACCCAGAGCAATAGACATATTTAATGAACTTCCTGAAAAAAAGTACAGATTATCTGAAGATTTAGCTAAACAGTTCACCTTGTCCTCAGGGAAGCATTCACTGCTACAAAGCTAAAGGCAGATCACACAAAATTAGCGTACACCTAAGTACACTTAGTCTTTCCACAGTTTTAATGAAGCCAGAACTATTTCTGGGACTGTGACCTTGTACACACAGAGATACTTGAATACACTCAATAATTTCACTCACCTGCCTTTAAGTTCATCACCTTCAAAACAACTTGATCATCACTCAGGTATACTGAGATTGTAGCTTGAATAATCTTAAATCCGCAGGTGGCCCAGCATAAACACATGCCACCACTAGCAGGAAAACCACCTGTCAGCTGTTCCTCATGATGAATTTCAACTCTTCCATGTGCCAGAGGTAGCTAGTCTATAAACTTGAGAGAATCTTTTCCTGTTCACCAAATTCTACTTTGCTAGGAACAGTTGATAATAAGCTGCCTACATTGGGCATTTCACTAACAATTTTATGTCATTTTGGTGAGTTTTATGTCAGGACACTCAGTTAGGAAGCTGGCACAAGGTATGAAGTTCTTAGAAGGCAGTTGCTACTTTCCAACCATGTCTGCTTATGCTATTAGATCCTGATATCTGGTACAAAGCCCAGATAGTTTTGAAGTATTGATCACTTTTAGACAGAGCAGGCATACCAAGTCCAGTATGCAATACCCCACGGTTAGCATTCCTAATTTTCCACCACCTCCAGGATCATTCTGAGGGCCTCTACATTCATGCACTGTCAGAATGCCTTCAGTCAACAAGAGGCGATGAAGGAAATGCAACTTTTCCTAGTATGTAACTGTCTTCTTATCTGTTGATACTTACAGCTAATAGATTTATCCATTGAAATTTATACTGCTTGGGAGAAGGCAATCCACCCTCCCAGCAGAGTCGAGTCAGTAAGCTATTTCAAAATATAATCTCATACTTTATGATACCCAGCAAAGATTTACCCACATTAACGGCAATATAGATAACCACAGCCACCTGACTGGTATACTTTATATTTCCTACCAGAAATTACTAAACCAACTAGGAACTGCACCATTCCACGGAATCCCTTTGGTCTCCATTTTGGTTCTTAAGCACCAGGTCAATAGCTAATCTTCAACTGCCTAGACCAGAGATGTCAGAGACCTGCTGACTCACTTGCAGACTACATAATGCGCATAAATTTGTGATGAAGGATCTGCACAAGACAGTAACTAAAATGAAAAAGGACTCCTTAGCTTTTGAATTAACAAAAAGATAGCAGTACTTCTATGAACAGGAAGTAAATAAACCTAGCGATTGTCAATAAAACTATTAACCAGACAGAGTGTTTCAATGTAAAAAGGCAGTTTATTGCCAAGTTTTACCTTGCATCCACAGGGGCAGGTTAGCACATCTGAGGGGAAGGAAAGGAAGCTGTAGGAATCTAGGAGATCAGTAAATCCCAAATGGGTATTACTGGCCAGAAGACTCCTACAAGGTTTATTTGCAAAAAGGGGAACTGAAAAACAGGGACTTGTAAGTGTTTGATGAAACAGGAGCAAATAAGAAAAAGTGACTTCTAGAATAGGCCCTGGCAGACAATAGTAATATTAAGCACACGTTTCAAACTACTCTAGGAGGTCAAGCACCTCGAGATTATACAATAGCACAACGTCACGGATCTGTATTTTCATCTTTTTCAGATGTCTTTCAATTGTCACCAACTTCACTGATGTAATAAAGCTAGAATTATCTAGAAGATGATAGAATATATAAATACACACAAATCTGCCATTAAAAATTCTAATCCTCCAGATACTTAAAAATAACCAGTGTGCTGCTTTTAAAAAGTACGAGTAGTTGTTGTGGGTATTCAGACCAGTAATATAGCAAATCAAAGAAAAATAGATTTACATAAATGAGAACTTACATGACCTTTGAGCTAGCTCAGGCACCAGTAACAGTCTGGATACAGCAACACATAACAGCTAACTTTTCATGCTTCTTTAACATACCACTAAGAAGTATGTATGGAACCAGTAAGTATACATGTACACTAACTGTTGGGAGAAAAAAAACAAAACACAAAAACAACATAAGCTTGGGGACTAGACTTAAGTTCACTAAAATAGAGAGGCATTCTTTAAGAACAAATACTGCTTCTGTTTGAAGCAGGTAAATATGAAATAAAGTCACTGGGATTTTCATGTGTAATGGTGATTTGGTGGTTAGGACTTCAGAAAAAAGTTTAGAAGTTACAGTGGACAGAACTAAATACGAGTCTCTACATTGGCAGGGCAAATAATGTTCTTTACAACTTTTCAGCTCCTGAGCAGAATTGCATTTACAACTGCTCTACCAAGTAAATAACTAAATATACCACCTTTGGAAATTCCACTTTAACGCAGGCGAGCAGTACCAGATTCTAAAGAGCTGTGGGTGTTTTTTGGTTTCATGGGGGGTTTTTTGTGTGTTGGGTTTTTTCCCTTCTTTTCAGCATACTGGGTTTTTTTGTTTGTTTAGCATGTGACACAACTTCTCATTAAACTTTTGATTAAATATGTTTTAACTCATCAGTGATGTATTAGGTAACTCAGTCTCTTCTCTGAACAAAAGACAGGACAGCTTATGTAGAGATAACATCCCCGAAGCAGCATTTTATTTTATTCATTTAATTCCAAAACATTTAATTTAGAAGTCTGGCATCTCAGTCATCCATCTTAACATGGGCTAATATTGACATAGTGTTGTCAGAATACACAGACAACTAAACAGCCAAAGAGTTTACAAAAAATAAATTCATGATTCTTCAAAACAACTGCAAAAGGTTACAAGTATCAAAACTCTTAGGTAGATGTACTGCATTAAAAGAAACTGTGCACATAAGTTAGAGGCAAAAAAACCCCAAATTGCTACTGAAACCTCACATTTCAAACATTTTATTGTAAACTGATGAACAGGGTTGTCATTTCATATCAGCTTAACTGTTTCCATTGACTGAAAAAAATTTGGGGTGGCTAATTTACTTTGCATGCACAAAATGTACTGCTTAACAGAACTGTCAGCTCATTTCAAATGAAATTGACTGGAATCTAATGATCTTCATTCACTTTCCGTTATTCTTTCCCATATTTTCCAATCAACAGGCAAACTAAAAGTGCCTCATTTTACTATGCATGTTTCTGCACTGCTCAAGTGCAACTAAGATAAATAGGGCAAATAAACCAATCAATCCAACAACGCCCATGAAGACTCATCTGAAACTGCTTCTTCATAAAGTGGACAGCAGATCTGAACAGCTGTACAATACAGATATGCTTAGCACTAGATATTTAGTGTGACTGTGGCAAGGAAATATTGGTGATGATGGGGATGGTGAAGTGGATGAAAGAGGGATCAGAGGAAAGCTTTTTAATTATTGCCCTCTCCTGCCTCTTCATCTTGCTGATCACTCGTCCACAGAGTGAGGTTATCTCGAAGCAACTGCATGATGAGAGTGGAGTCCTTGTAGGAATCCTCATTTAGTGTGTCCAGCTCTGCTATGGCATCATCAAAGGCTTGTTTGGCTAAAAGGCAGGCCTGCTCAGGAGCATTCTGGATTTCATAGTAGAACACTGAGAAATTGAGTGCCAGCCCAAGCCTAATTGGGTGAGTGGGCTGCATGTGCTCTTTGCTGATTTCAAATGCCTCTTTATAGGCAGCTTCTGAGGCTTCCACAACAGTGTTCTTCTTCTCTCCAGCAGCAACTTCTGCCAAATAGCGGTAGTAATCCCCTTTCATTTTCAGATAAAAGACCTTGCTCTCATATTGGAAGTCATTGCAGTTCTTGATCAAGTATTTATCTAGGAGAGCCAAAACATCATTGCAGACTGTCTCAAGCTCCTTTTCTATCTTCTCCCTATAGGCTTTAACCTTCTCCAGCTTCTTCTCATTCCCATCTGCCATAGTCTTCTGCTCTATGCTGCTGATGACACGCCAGGAAGATCGTCTAGCTCCAACTACATTCTTGTAGGCTACAGACAGCAGGTTTCTATCCTCATTTGAGAGAGGCTCATTCAGCTCAGTTACCTGAAAATACAGACAAAGATCAAATTTAAAGGGTTTGTCTTAGAGAAAAAATGTGCAAACCTCCCTTCAATACTTCCATCATGAAGTGCAAGGATTCAAAATTCCTTCTGGATCCCAAAATTCCTTTTAGACAGAAGTCAATTTGTAATACTGAAAGTTTAAGAGTGAAAACCTCACAGTTCTGTTGTAATAGAACAGGTATTTAGAAGCCATTGCAAAGCACATTCACTGAATAAAAGTCAGTCAGGCTTGTGTAATGGAGAAGAATCCACAGAAGGAAGGCTCAGGTTTTTTAGGAAGTCTGCTATAATTATGCAGACTACACATGTAGTGATGAATTTAAAAGTACCTAGGATATCAGTTTTATGAATCTGGAACACAGCACAGACACTGGAAACTGATGTAGTTCTTGCATTTCTTTCCCCTGCTGCTTTCTTTCATGGGACAGCAGAGATGGAAGCGCTGCAGTCCTTATGATTAAGTTCTGCATAGTACAAATGGAATTAGTGTTTCATAGTATCTTCCGGTGAGCAGTTATAAAATGTAATATAAAAGTAATCCTGATTTCTGCTAACTGGTAACTGCAAGCAAATTTCTGGGATAGGACACAAAAAAAACATGGATAGAAGTAGAACACGCAATCAAGAAAAAAAAGCCAAGATCAACTCCAAATTCCAACTACAAGAAGCTAAGGTAGAAGAAAGATAATACTTCTAATACTGTATTTAGGCCTACTTAATTTGCTGTGTTAATTTAGGGAATAAAACCTATCAGATTTATAGTCACTTAAGATTGTTCTACTTTTGCAAATTTACAAACATGAAATTAAACTCACAGGAATTAGGATGAAAAAATGTAACTCCATTACTTTAAGCATACTGCACTAACTGCATTAAAAGAAGTCACTAGAATTCTAACAATATGTATTTTGGTGTGAAAGTAAACGTGTCCTTGCTCAGACACTGCTAAAATCATCAACTATTTCTTTTAAAATGTGCATATTTACACTGCTTGACAGGCATCAGAATGTTCGCAACCAAATACTTAGGTACTACAAATAATCATGTCACAAATATTTACACTATTCTGAGACTGCTGGTATAGCCAGTGAACCATCCAATAAATGTGCATATTATCAAGTCTAAAAAATAACATATTAATTATAACTGTTACAGTAAGAGAGAGCTTACTTTCAAATTTAGGTGTTTTTCTTCCAATATTCTAAGCCAATTAGTTTTATCTACAAAATGCCTTTTCCCCACAGCTCAGGAACCTAAAATCCCAAAAGACACCACTCTGCCTGGCCTAATACAATTAGAGACAATCTACAGAGGGTGAAATGCACAGGAATCAACTCTAACGACATCTTCATAATCTTCACACCTTCCAGTCAACACTCTCCCAACAATCTCTACCGCAACCCACCTAATATCATCTTCTCTATTAAAGATACTAACTCCCTGAAGATGTAAAGGCTCAGCTAAGAGCTTCCTATTCCCTACAGTCTGTTAGGAAAGCACTTGCTTTTACAAAAATGAAACAAAGAAATCCACCAAAGGCTATTAATAATCACTTGATCATTCCTCCACTGCTGGAGGACTTCGTTTGAAAGTTCCTTGCAAGTCCTGAATCACAGTGGTTGATCTAAAGGAGTCCGTAATGTTTTGGTAAAACTTAAATGTCATTTAACCGCACAAACCCTGAGGATGAAACAGGACAACTGTAACAGAAATACCACCTCTTGGCTCTGCAGTCCAGACTCCATACAAAAGAAATTAAACCTACAAGACGACTGCAACCACAGCTATCCTAATTCTTCACCTCCATTTTTTCACCTCATCCTCCACTCACCATCTTCTGTTCTTTAACCTCAGCTAACTGCTACCTTCATGTTCATTCCTTTCCCTCTGCTTCAGACTAAATATCCTGCTAAATGCTGGTATTTAAGTATTTAATAACTAAACACAGACATGCAGGCAACCTAACCCTTGTTATAACTACTTCTTCTACCTCCTTAAGGTGGTTTCTTAAACTTTCCAATATGAACTTTCAAAGACAGATGTTTTCTGTGTATTCAAAACACGAAAACAGCATTTTACAGTGCATAACAAATGTCCTGGGAACCGTCAAAAAATTTTGAGGACTAAATCCTAAATTTTTACTATGCTATATAGCTGGTGCATTTACTTAAGGGGAGATAAATTAATCATTTTTCAAATTTCATCCAGTTTGTCACAAGAGACAAAATACAATCTTACAGGAATACCAGTAGCTTTGAAAGCGTATTCCAGGCTTTTTTTCTAGTCTATCATCTCTCTTCTGGTGTTATTAATTTTTAATTGCAGAAAATGCATCATAACACCCATCCTGAAAAAGTTGATTGATAAAGCCCACTTGCACAGGAGCCACTGCAATTGCAGATAACCTACACCTGAAAAGCCTTCCAACCTTCCCTAATCACAACCAAAATTTAATGCAAGTGTTGATAAACAGCATATTTGCAGAAATTTTTGAAGATATATTAAGAGAGGGAGGATCTTGTAAAGTCTAGCACGAACTCTGGTAATCTCAGCTGATCTTTACTCAACATTGAGTATTAAAAATAGGTCTACAGTACAATCTTTAAAATGCAGTGTAACTTTTGGAAGCGTCTTCATAGTACAAATATGGACTAGCCAGGCTTGGCTGTTGCATCAGCTTGGGCTGAGTAAGTTTGCTAAAACTCTCAATAAGCACCAGACTAACAGAACTTATCTTGACATAGCAAGATTGAGAAATAGCAGGGGATACTCAACATACCTTCATGTAAAGCACAACAAAAAAAGCCCAGAAAAAAGCCATGTCTCAGGACTAGCTGCAGAATAGTTGTTCATATGTGGAAAAAGAATATTAACTTTTTAATCAAAAACATGAAAATATCTAAGAGATAAGATTAAGAGACTTAATTAAGAGACTATTCCAGATCCATCACTAGACTGCTGTATAATTTAATTCCCAAGACCAACTTAAACTCACCTTGAGATGGTTCCTTAAAGTAAAAAGGAAAAATTAACAGAGAAGCTAATTCAATATGCTTAAGAGATATTTACCAGCTTTAAGATGTATCAAAAGTTACTGATACTCCTTGGAGAATCAGCAACTACTGTCAACTCAAGCTAAAAAATGCTGATACTCTATGTAGCTATATCTAAAAATCACATCTACCCCCCTGGTCTAACAGCTGTATTACAAGGAAATAGAAAGGAAAGCATGTGACCATTATGGAGCTATCTACTGTTTTATCTCTTTCCAATACATTAGCAAAGTAGATAAAAAAGACATGTTTCTCTTCACATGTGGAGATGACATAGAGAAAAAGAAAACTTGAACTGCTGAAGGAAATTTATTTCTTCCTGTCTTCCATTATACCTATAGCCTTTCCTTAGTAGAAAAGATCTTGGATGCAAGAACTTATTTTTACAGACATTGACACACTTTCTTATAATGGCTGTTGGGAAAATCGAGTGCTTAAAATATGAAAAGCCTTTTGCAGCATGATTTCAAAGTAGCATTTACTTACTCAGGTGTTACTCTGTACTTTCTTTATGCAAACACACCTCTCTCTCACACATAAGTTTGAGGTTATTTTCAGTCCCGAGCCAGATGGTACAACTGAACACACAGGCTATGATCTGCTAGTAGTTTTAATTTAGACGGACTGTCTGCCTTTTGTAATAAGAATACAGTCTAACTCATTTATTTCTATAATACTTACAGGTATCTCCTCCTCTGCTTTATGCCCACAAGGTTCCTTCACAGCTTACTGGGAAAAAAATGGGAGTATATAAAAGGAATCCTGACTATAACCCTGGAATTCCTAACTACACATGCTGATGAGCATGGAAATACTGTATCAGCTCAGAAATTACTTCCACCTGTGTGATCCCACAAAGGCCATACCAAGCTGAGCTGTTTTCACATAGAAAATACAACGAAGTGAAGGTTTTACAACTGACAGCAGATCTATGATGCACTGTTGGATTACCTAGTAGAATTTGACCCAGGTCAATTGAATGTAGGTGATTATACTTCTGTTTCATTATCCAGAGCATGTAAGTCACAGCTAGAGCCAGTTCTTAGCAAGCTACTGCAAAAATGATTGTACTTGAGCCATTATAAAGTTAGGTTTAATTATTAAAATTCTCTTGATACAAGTTATGCAGCTCATAATTTTTGAACAAATAGAAACCAGACTAATGAATTTAAACCAGATCATTTTCTTGCATCATGTGGCTTCAGTGTTTTATATCAAGCACTGGAAGTTCTATAGCTAGATTTACTGTATAAAAGCACAGTAGGAAAGTAATCTCACAGCAGGGGAGGATATTGTTTACGTTAAAGGCATCTCATTCCCCCTCCTCCACATATACTTCATTAACCCAAAATCAGACACTGGTGAGAACAACTCAGTGACACAATACTAAAAATATGGAGCATCCCAAACTTTTAAAGTCCATTTATGTACACAGATAAAACCTACAAATTAAACTAGAACCTCAAGCTATTTTGCTTTAAAAACTTTAGATCATTCCAAGACTTAAATTTATCTCATGCTGTGTAGTATTTCACATATGACTAATTTTTAAATTCTATATCTCACATAACACAGATTCATCTTACGAATTTTAAAGAGTAAATGACTCTCTAGTCACTATGTAGCTATACTAGAAAAGAACATAAATTAAGAGGTCCTGAGCACTACATATTAGCATTAATACTGTCTAAAATACTACCAGTTTATACAGCTAAAATGTTTAACTATTTCTGGAATGATCTAAAACCACAGGTACTCAATGCTGTTCTCAAGATGCCAGAATATTTGTTCCATCAAGTGAGAACCTTTAACACACTAAAACCTTATCTTTCTCCAGTGTGTTGAGAAGTCGTTTTTTACCTACCGTGTAGGGTTATTTCAAACAGTTGGAATCCTGGAGCAGCATTTAATGCAATGAGAACGCCACATCCCTTGGAAGAATGACATTTAGTAGAGGCATATGTACATATGATTGTATTTTCTATTAAAATAATTTTGGCTGGAAAAAAGTAAACTAAACTCATTAATTTATAACAGCAAACCAAGTAAAAGTTTAATTTCCCTCTACTGTCTACACATTATAAGCCAAAATACTAGAATTCTTCCAAGAAAAAGAAGTTCAACAGCAACAAAAATATTGAGCAGTGGTTTCCTTATTTAAGCTACAACTGCTACCTCATCTGGCTTTTCTTTAAAAGAAGGAACTGACAGAACTGAAAATAAGTGTTTCTCCAGCTTTATTCTGACAGCTAAAATGGCACTGTTGTCATACTTTTTCTTCCTTCAGTGGCAGTCTCAAAAATCATGCAAATATGCTTCCACTAAAATAGTCTTTGTTACTTTATGTTTTAGGAGTAACAATCAGGCTGTGGGCTATTTGGGTATTGTAAGTGTGGTGATAAATATCTAGAACTGAAATTAATCATTCAAATTTCTATTTATACTGAAAGCACACTACTTTCATATAGTACTTTTTAAAACGATCAGATTTAAAAAACCACATTCAGAGATTTAAAAAATTGTTTCACAAGAAGCTTTTCAAATCAAGATATCCTGCATTGAGAATAGATAACCGAGTTAGAACACTGATTTCCTGTTGAAGGAAGTCCAACATCTCTGGAGTGCAGGAACATTATTTGAATATTATTCTACATGGATAAAAAGGACTCTTAATAGCTGTAATTACAGTCACTGAAATGGAAGGAAATATTAGCAGTGTGAGAACAGACAGCCCGCCCACATAACATGTCATAGCAGCTTACACTCAGACCTACAAAATCAACTTCAAACACTGAAGAGCATTCTGGAGATGACCATGTTAGAGTGAATACCTGTGAAAACCAAGTAACCAATTGATGCTACATTATAGGCATGCAACAGTATATAAACAGCTTAAAATAAGGAAACTGTTGCCTTTTAAATTCAGCTTTACTTTTTGTATTTTTAAAGTATCTATAATGTAATGTTTCATAAAGGCTCAGGACTCAGCTCACAAAGTGTTCGCAAGCTCCCAATTACAGAGGCTCACCATTATACAACTTATTTGAGAGCAAAAGTAGCATTACAGATAAGAATACTGTGACTAAAGATGAACTAAAATTGCATAGTAATTAGGACAGTTTAAAAAGACAACTGGACATACACACTAGTTATATGTAATTTACATATTTCCTGAAGGATAGCAACTATATTGTTTGTTTCATGTATGTTCAGAGCACCATACATATAGTTCAGTGATATTTGGAAAAATAAAAAGCTGTTTAACTACAGCTAGAAATACAGTCTTCTAGAGCAGCAGTGGATTTTAGTGGTTTCTCAATTTCATCTTTTAGAATTACCAACTGAAAAATTTTAGAAATAAAGAGCTGTTACTACTACATTTTATGTATCAAGAATTCTAGTGATATAATCAAAATACAGCTTATTTTAATGTCTACTGCCTCTGACATTGAGATACCCAGAAGTACTGGTGCTTTACAGCTGGACTGGTCATAGTATTTATTGACACAACAGCAGAAGTGAACAAGAGCAGCAAAATACATGTCTTTTTTACTGCCCTCATTTAAGGGATGCGACATACATCACAGCCCCTGAACGAGACTAAACAGATTGATTCTTACAACAAAAATGTGAACTCCATTTGAAGCTGCTCTTTCAAACTAAAACCAGCTGTCTTTAAACAGCAGTTCTCTCAAAGGAAACGATTCCTCTTGGGACCTTTGGTGTTCACAAAGGACAGATCAGCAAGAACAAACCAACTGTAATCAGATACAGCAAAGACACTGCTAAGCATGTACTGGCATTACTTAAAATTCAGATTATACGAATATCTTGTCTTTAAAAAAAAAAGGACTAGACATATCAAGTTTAATCATTCTGCAAGTTTATTATGTATCAGTACAGAGAAATCAGTACAAGTAATTTTCATTCTTGGTTCTGAAAGGAGTGGAGTTGCAACTGTAACTTATTGTTTAAATACATGTCAGTGTTCAATTGGGTACGGAATGCACTGAGAATTTGTTACCCTACAAAGAAGAGGCAAAAAGGCAACGTTAAAGCTTGGGAAACGCTCTCTGTGCACTGGGTAGCTTTTATACCCGGATGCAACTACTATCTTTGAGCCAGAGCACTCACGTTTGTGAGTGAGGCCCCTCTTTGTGCCTTTTATCGCGAGGCAAAAGAAACGTCTAGAAAAGGAAGGGGCTCCTCTTGCGGTGCGCGGCTTCCCCGGACACCTCCCGCCGCAGCCGCCATCCCACCCGACAAGCACCTCCAACCGCTTGCGTGTCCCAGACTCCCCCAGAAGAGGAGACGCACCCCGAGGTTAAACCCGTCATCCCCACCGCGGGGGAGGAGGTGGGCGAGGACGGACCCCATCTTGAGCAGGGGTCAGGGAAAGGATCCACTATGGCCCCGCCGCGACGAGGAGAGAGGCGGGCAGCGTTCGAACTGCTGCACAACGCGCCGGATTGG